TTTTATCAAACTCCATTGCGATGTTAGTGTAGTTTATGGCAGAGAAAAGATCAATTAAAGGCTATATAATTTGAATCTCACATACAGAAATTCCAATCTACAGGTGAAGTGAGAAGGGAGAACAGATCATCATAGATAAGCCTTTCATTCTTAATCAGAATGATCGTCGAAACGAATTTTCAATCGTTAGTACACATCAAGAAAATCCATACTTCTGTTAATTAATCTAAATAATCTCAGCTTAATTAGACTAAATTTCATCATCAAAAGGTGAATATTCATGTAAATTCATATCTTATCATTTCAAATGCTATTTCTACATATTATTCATCAAACACCATGGTCTGTACTTGTTGTATCAGAACAGCCAGTCAATGAGTCGAGCACGTGAATATTGCGACACCAGAGAGTTTTCGTCACAATAAGTTCCGAGAGCCGCAACAACAAGTTGCAACCACCTGGCGAGGGCGATGCCGGCCACCCAGTGGCCTCCAGGTGCTCTTGAAACCCCCTGTCTCGTCTCGCATGCCTGCTGCCGAACTGTGAACTTTGTCATTTATTGGGAAAAAGGGATCATCGTTGGAAAAATGACCCACGAAACGCTGTGCATCTCTCTTGTACGTCTGTGTGTGTGAAACTGGGGGGCAACGGTATCGTTCTGGAACACGCGCGAATCAACGTTCCAAAATCGATACGTACATCTGCCGCAACGTAGAGTCTATTGACTCCTCTGGCTGCTCGGAGCATCTCCAAGGCGACTCAGGATGGAACGCGCGGCGTGTCCCGCTTTCGACGGAAATCTCGCAGGCGAACAAACGATTCTCCTGATACTGGCGACTCTCTGGTTTATTGGCGCTGTAGGTGGAAACGATATAGCACAACTATAAACTGAATTTAACTAGAAATGCGTAATTGAAGAGATTTTGCTCGGAGAGGATCTCCAGATCTCAGCGATGTCGACTCGATTTTAAGAAGCAACGTATTTTCCATGTTATTATTCTGTGCATTTTTTCCACACCTTTGGTTTACATAAATGCATACAAAATATCGCAATCTACTAATCATTCACAGTCACACTTGTCAGTAGTATTAATAAAAAATTGATAAATTTCTTTCTAGCGTGAAACGTTCTGTGAATTCCTCTTCTTAGACGAGATTACAAGAACATAAAACTTGTATAAAAATCTGCAATTTAGTTATATACGTTTCAAATTTAACGACAGCGTAGATTTTTCTCATTGATTGTACGTTCTACGAGTGTAAAACACGGTTTATGATGAATGGAACTGTATGTTTTTGTGGATAGGGTGATTTATGAACGTGGTTTGTTATAGAAATGATTGATAACGGGTCATGAGAGTTTTGTAATTGGTCACTTCTGGAGTTCGAATTCGACTGATTGCATCACATTATTTCGCCGGTGGAGTCATTTT